ACTTAAAGCCAGCAGTTAAATTTACCAGCAAGCAGCCTGAGTGCAGTGCTTCAAGGGGGGTAGAGGTAGAGTATGTTAGTTGAATTGCATCTGGAAAAAGTTGAGGGAAAAAAGACAGGATATTACTTGTCATCCTTGAGATTTACGCACAGTGAGGGCTCCAGCCATTGTACATACATTCAGCATGAGAATGCATTTTCAGGATGAAAATACAGCAGAAGATGGAAGAACAAAGGAGATGCCTACAAAACCCAGCCAGCTTCCTTTAAGGTTCCCATTACTATCAGCACTTCATTTAAAAATGAGGTCTGGACAAACACTAAACTAGATGGGCCACCCAGATAGCAGGGATACACTGATGGCCACAGATGCTTACAAACACACAAATCCACATCTCTCCTCAAGCTCTTCCCCCACCTGGAAGCCAGCTCCCCTCCTACATACTCTCTAGTTCTTACTCAGTACCTGCCTCCTGCCTCCTACACAAAGCTTTCCGGGCCCCCACAAGCTACAGTGGCCATTCATCTATCCTACACGCCTCAAGCCCTCCTGCCATGCATGTTTTCAAGTACACATGCTCCAGTTTACATCACACAGCTTACAAAGGCCAGTGACCAGGTAGAGGTCCAAAGAGGAGAGTTTGGACCAATGAGAAAGTTAGGAAAATAATGTTCTGTTTTGAACTAGGAAGTTACATTTGCTAGGCAGGTGCTTTACCTTTTAGGTCATGCCTCCAGCTCAGAAAAATCAATTGTCTTTAAAAAAAAGAAAAAGGCCTCTGGGTACTGGTGAATCACACCCGCAATCCTAGCTACTGAGCTCTGAGAACTGAGACTCTAAGTCAGCCCAGGCAAACAAATTCAAGAAACTCATCTCCAATTAACCAGAGAAACACAAATAATTACACTTGGACATGATTAACTAAACATCACTCTAAGCACCACACAGTGAGGAGGAGGATATTCTTAGGAAGGGATCACAATGGCTCAATAGCTGTGTGAATATGGCCATATAAAATGATGCTTATTGAAATGAACTCCAGGATGTAATATTTTCCTTTATCAGTAGTACACATACTGATTTGACATCTAAATATTATTTTTTACTTTTTGCATATAAGTGGAAGGCAATGAGAATAATCATTATTATCTGATAATAACAATAATAATAAAGATGTGCTTGTTTGTTTTAAGACAGGTCTTGCTATATAGCCAGCTTGACCTTGAATTGGCACACTTCTGGCTTCTAGCTCCCAAATGCTGGGACTGCACGCACACACACACACACGCGCACACACACACACTCTACCCCACTCTGGCAATATCTATCTATCTGTCTGTCCATCTAACTGTCTATCTACCTATCTAGCTCTACTTACCCCCAGATAGATATGGATATATATATATATATATATATATATATATTTTTTTTTTTTTTTTTTTCAGTCATTGGTCTTGAACTTAGGGCTTCAATGCTGTCCCTGAGCTTTTCACTCAAGGAGAGCACTTTATCACTTTGAGCCACAGTGTAATTTCTGGTTTTCTGGTGATTAATTGCAGATAAGAGTCTCATGGACTTTTCTGCCCAGGCTGGCTTTGAATTGAGATCCTCAGATCTCAGCCTCCTCAGTAGATTACAGGTTTGAGCCAATAGTGCCTAGCCAATATCTGTATTTTAAATCTGGGTCTGCAAAATCTGGCCTGGAGTATTTGGTTAGATTTCCCTTCTATTCTTTGCAGTTCCCAACAATGCAAATCTAAGGGTGTATTTTAGTAGCTTTAGAATGAGAAGTGGAAATGTGCGAGTTTAATGAAGAGTAGCTAGCAATCTCGAAGACACAACTGTAAACTGTGCCCATCTTCTGATTCTCTAACAAATGTACCACAAACAGTGCAGTGAGTTTTGCATCCCATCCCTAATTTGAGGCCAAATACTCCAATTTTTATTCCAAAGCTATACTTTTCACAGTTTGCCTTCACCTGATTGTTAAACCTGCTTGGAAAGAAAGAGGACAGAAATGTTTTTATTTCTATTTTCCAAATCAACCTTCAGCTAAGGACTTAACAGAGACAACAGTACAGAGGAACACTTTTTGGAGCTAGTTCACATTGGATAACAAGCTCAAGTCTATACAGCCTTCAAGTTTGCATCCTATGGAAGTTCTGTACAAGAGTACCATCAAATGCCTGAATGTTTTGGCAGGTATGCAACCTGCATGAACTGGATCATATGACAGGCTGCAAAATGTCCTCACACAACATCTGTGACTCTGCTAAAAGTAACTGTCATTTCTTTGTCTATCTAAGGAATTAATTCTCAATTATATAATAAGCCATGGAGCTTTATCAAGTCCTCCACTGTAACTTCCTTTCAGTCATTCTTCCTCCCACAGATGCTGGTCAGGGCTAAAACAAGACTATGACTGTAGCTTCCCACTTCTGCCCTTCTACCATCTCCCACAGACAGTATTGCCAAAACAGTGTTCCAGCATTAGCTCCCTGTATACCCTATTCCTGCATTTAAAACAAGCACAAAACAAACCAACTTCAGAGATTCTCAGATTCCAACAGTTTAACCTCACAAGAAGACTCCAGCATTACCACCCTGCTGTCTTGTTCCCCTCACTGAAAACCATCCAATTTACTAATGGAAGAGAAGAAGAAAGGAAGGGAGGGAGGAAGGGAGGGAGGGAAGAAGGAGGGAGAGGAAAAGAGAGAAGGAAAGAAGGGAGGGAGGAGAGAGGGAGGGAGGGAGGAAGGGAAAAAGGAAGGAAGGAAGGAAGGAAGGAAGAAAAGGAAGGGAGGAAGGGAGGGAGGGAGGGAGGGAAGGAGGGAGGGAAGGACAAAGAGAGAGAAAAGAGTGAGAGAGTGAGAGAGAGAGAGAGAGAGAGAGAGAGAGAGAGAGAGAGAGAGAGAGAGAGCCACACACTGAGCTGGGTACTGGTAGCTTAGTCTGTAATCCTATCTACTGTAGAGGCTGAGATAGAGGACTGCAGTTCAAACCCAGCCCAGGCAGTAAAGTCCATGAGACTCACATTTCCAATTAACCAGCAAAATGACAGATAAGAGGCATGGTTCCAGTGGCTGAGCACCAGCCATGAGTAAGACAGCCAAGTGACAGTGAAAGAAGCCCTCAGTTCGAGCCTCAGTAACCAGAAATAATAATTAATTAATGTACTTTGGAATGTCTGGGTTTTTTTCTATAAAACATACTTCCCAACTCTGCTCAATTATAAAAATGACCACTCCTTTTTTGTAGACAGAGTTTTGCAATAGAGCCAGGCTTGACTTGAACTCACAAACCTCTTGCCTCTGCCTTCCATAGACTGGAATTTTAGGTATACACCTCACCCATTTCCACAGCAGCACTATTTTAACAGCCAAGAGGTGGAAGCAACCCAAGTGTCCACTAGATGAACAGTAACAAAGTGCAGCTGAACACATGGAAAGGAAGGAGGCTCTGACACCTGCTACAACATGGATGAGCCCAGGAGACAAGATGCCTTGTGAATAAACCAGGTACCAAAGCACAAATACTGGAGGATTCCACTTTCATGTGGTGTATCAAATAGTTAAATCCATGCGACTACCACTACTCCTAGTGGATGCCAGGAGTGATGGGACAAGGGAAATAGGGAGTTGTTTAATAGATACAGAATTTTAGTTTCACAAGATGAAAAGTTCTGAACAATGGCTGCTTAATGACATGAGACAAATATCCTACACATGTATCATGTCATTTTTTTTTTTTTTTTTTGGTCCAGTCTTGGGGCCTGAACTCTGGGTCTGGGTGCTGTCTCTCAGCTCTTCAGCTCAAGGCTAGCGCTCTAACACTTGAGCCACAGCGCCACTTCCGGCTTTTTCCTTTTTGCTTATGTGGTGCTGAGGAATCAAACCCAGGGCCTCAGGCATGCAAGGCAAGCACTCTACCACTGAGCCACCTTCCCAGCCCTCATGTCATTTTTTAAAATTAGTTTTGCAAACCTTAAAAAAAATACTTAGTCTGGGCACCAGTGGCTCATGCCTACAATCCTAGCTACTCAGGAAGCTGAGATATAAGAATTATGGTTCAGTTCAAAGCCAGGAAAGTATATGAGATGCTTTTCTCCAATTAGTCATCAAAAAGACAGAAGTAGAGCTATGACTCAAGTTATATATAGGACATTAGCCTTGAGCAAAAAAGCTTGAGTTCAAGCCTCAGGACCAACACACACAAATTAAATAGGGATTGGGGTGTGGCTCAAGTGGTAATGTTTGCCTAGCTAACACAAGGCCCTGAGTCCAAACCCTAAAACCACAACTACAACAAAACAAGTTGATTACCAAAAAATACTCATGCACTCAAATGTATGAGTGTGAGCACACACACACACACATATATACACATACATATATATATATATATATATGTACTTATATTTCCTCTTAGATGATAAAAAAATCAATTCTATAGGTTACATTATTTATAAAAAGGTTTCTTTACTATTTTCATCAATTACTTGCAGAATTTTACACTTCCTTTTTAACATAACTGCTCAAAACAGTATCTAATTTTACTAGCTACATTAAATATAAGTGAGAGAAAAAAATAACAAAATGGAACAGCAAAGTTAAAGAAACAGAAAGAGCTGGTGCTCAAGCCTGTAATCCCAGCTATGAGGAGGCTAAGATCTGAGGACTGGGGCAGACAAATCCTAGTTCCAATAAACTATAAAGGGCCAGAAGTGGAGCTGTGAGTAAAGTGATAGAGAACATGCCATAGTGAACAAGAGCACCAGGCTGAGTTCTTTGCATCATTTGCATGCACATATGTGCATGCACGCACACACACACTCACACACACTAACAGAAAGTACACGCTTGCTGACAAGCAAGAAATAGATCAGATTCTCAAGGACAAGCTCTCCAGTCATTGGGACAGAAAGTGGGTATTCATTCGGTCAGATCATATCTGAAGAAAAACACAAACACCAAAGGCAAGGGGGTTCTGAACTGTCTAACCTGCATGGGGTTAATCTTCACTGAGCGTTCAAAACACTCCACGCATTCTTGAAGCTCCTTGTTCCGAAGGTGAAGCAGGGCCTTGGAGCGCTGGGCCCGGGCGCTGCGGTGCCCGGACAACTCCCAGGCCTTGTCGTAGCAGGAGTGATCTCTGAGTACATCTCCCAGCAAGCAGTATAAACTCGGCGTCTCTTTTTTCTCCAGCTCTTGCCTCAGAATTTCTTCTGCCTGGAAACATCAGAAACTATGAAACTGCTTTGACGTGATTAATCTTTATTTTATCACATGTGCACATTTTACTCCACATGAAACAAATGTGTATTTTCAGCATTTGAGAGTACTTGTGTATTTTATGCATCTAGGATGCTGGCTACAGAAGAGAGGCTCAGGAGAAAGAAGTACAGTACCTGTAAAACAGGAAGAAGGAATGGGAGGCATATGTTGTTCTACTGGCCTCTCTAGTCCCCACAGCACCTAGGGCTCACTTCATGGTAACAGGCTGCTGCCGCCTATTTAACATCTACGTCCCTGCCCTGGTTGTTACCACAATGACTTCATCAGAGCAGTGCCTATAATTCACTCTATCTTCTCTCCTTCTTTCCTTATTTTCTTTGTTCGTTCGTTCCTCCCTCCCTCCCTCCCTTCCTCTCTTCCTCCTTTCCTTCCTTTCTTCTCCCTCTTTCATATTTTTATTTTTAAGTAGCTGTACAAAGAAGATTCCATTCAACGAAGTATTTTATGCATAAAATGCATCTTGATCAATGTCATCCCTTTCAACATTCTCGCCTATTCCTTTCAATCCACCTCTTCCCTCACTTTTCTTAATTTTGTAGTATATCCACTGAATTAAAAAAATTAAAGCATTATTATAAACGTGATGTACAGAGTGCACTGAATTTTTTATTATTTTTATCGATTGATTATTTTTGGTCAGTCGTGGGGCTTGAACTCTGGGCCTGGGTGCTATATCCCCCACCTCTTCAGCTCAAGGCTAGTTTTCTGGTTGTTAATTGGAGATAAGAGTCTCACAGTCTTTCCTGCCCGGGCTGGCTTTGAACCAGGATCCTCAGATCTCAGCCTCCTGAGTAACTAGGATTACAGGCATGAGCCACCAACATCCAGCTGCAATGAAATTTTGACTACACCTTGCTCTTCCCCCTGTTCCTCTCTTCCTTCCTTCCTTCCTTGATTGCCAAAAAACTTTTAAAAGAAAGGAGAAGGGCTGGGAAGGTGGCTCAGTGGTAGAGCGCTTGCCTTGCATGCATGAGGCCCTGGGTTCGATTCCTCAGCACCACATAAGCAAAAAGAAAAAAGCCGGAAGTGGCACTATGGCTCAAGAGCGCTAGCCTTGAGCTGAAGAGCTGAGGGACAGCCCCCAGGCCCAGAGTTCAGGCTCCACGACCGGACCCCCCCCCCCAAAAAAAAAAGAAAGAAAAAGAAAGGAGAAGATACAGTTTAGTAGGCTAAAAACTTACTTATTAAACAAGTCACATCAAACCTCTCAGACAAAAGCTGTGACCTTATCTGGTCCCAGACAGTGCATTCACTTTAGAAATGAACTCATCCTGCAATCACTGTGCAGGCTCGGCTATTACAACGCCCACAATTCAGAGCCTCCCTGTTGCTGGAGCTAATTCTGCACTGGCTACTATCATCTTCCACTGCACCTCAACCATGCCTGACACCTTGCTTCTGATGAATTTTACCAGAGAACAAAACCCATGACAGTCACCCTACTTTGCATCCTCACCCACCTTCACATATACAGCAGTGCTATCCCTAAAGATGCTAAGATAACCATCAGCAAAACAGACATAGATATCCTGGAAGGTTGCCCTCCAGGAAGGTGAAATGAGAATGTAAAGTCTCTAATGCATGTACATTGACTCTTTGAAAGTCTGTATATTTGGTTTGACATAAGTTGAACATATCTACAGTTCTTAAGCTGTCTGATTTTTGTGAAATCTTTTTTTTTTTTTTTGTCCATCGTGGGGCTTGAACTCTGGGCTTGGGCGCTATCCCTGAGCCCTTTAGCTCAAGGCGAGCACTCTACTGCTTGAGCCACAGAACCACTTCTAGTTTTCTAGTGGTTAATAGGAGATAAGAGTCTCACGGACTTTTCTGCCCAGGCTGGCTTTGAACCGTGATCCTCAGATCTCAGCCTCCTCAGTAGCTAGGATTACCGGCGTGAGCCACCAGTGGCTGGCTTTGTGAAATCTTTTAAACAAATTTCTGGATATTGGCCCCCTCTGCATTTGTGACACAATGTCAGTAACAAGGCTTTTCAGGACTAAGCTGAAAATGGAATCCGATTTTATACAGCAGTTGCTAAGGGAAAATAATTCTAAACCCCAAATAGTCAAAACAAATGTGAGCTTTCAGAATATAATGCATGTAATTTCTCCAGTCACAAAGAATATGAGGTATTAATGTATCTGAGTATAACTCTGTAAGGCTACCCATACAGAGATGCATATAACTAAAATTATATACAACAGATTGTAGCTGTTACCAACTTTTGCAACAATAAGCTCATAATGTGGTTGAAGGTTTTTCTCTCAAGAAAGACATTGGTACTTGGGACCCACCCCAATCCAGAAATTCTGGGAGCGAATTCATTTAATAGTAATTCCTTTCCACTTCAGCCAGTTACAGTGGATTCTACATGCGCAGTAATATAATGGCATTAGAGTAACTGCATGCAGGCACTCTACCCTGGAGAAAGTGGAACTTCTCCGACTGGTCTCTTATCAGGAAGATGGTGAGCAGGCAAGGTGGTGTAACACTCATGTCTACAACACTCAGTGATGCAGGAACAAGGCTCTGTGGACTAGGCAGCCGGACATTAGGAGGAAAGACAAGTGTGAGGCAGGTTTCCTGCTTCCAAGCTCACTAGATTACCCGAAGAGAGAAAATGACCTTCAGTGTTTTAAATTCACAAGGTCAGGGAAACAGGGAATCTCCACGATAATCTAAAATTTTACTTTCCCTTGTAGCTTAGCAGAATCAAACATAGCCAAAATGAAGTGTAGATAGACCCTGCCACTCAGGACTGCTAAAGAACAATGGAAGATGAATTCAGTTTCATTAGTTCTATCTGAAAGTCAGGGTTGATCAAATAGGTTTTGGTCTTATCACTTCCTTCACTGGCTTTCAGCTAAACATTTTATTTTTCTTTGGTGACAGTTCTTAGATAGATTTGTGACTATGGTCAGAGTGCCACAGTGTGTTTCTCTTAAAATACTCAGTTGGAGTCCGGAGCTGCAAAGTAAATAATCGCCCTGTCCTGAGGTCATTAATGTTATAAAAACAAACAAACAAGCTAATTCAGAAGAGGAAACCACAAGGGAGATGGTAAGACCAGAGAAGAGTTGCTAAGCCAGTCTCCATCTACTGCCAACTGTATGAGAAACCCAATCAGTCCCTTCCAGAATTCCTATTACGCAGAAACCATGAGAGAAAAACAAATGACTATAATCATTTTAATCCACTAAGTTTCCAGTGGGTTTGTTAGCAACAGGAACAGTAGCTGTTGTTTAAAGCTACTATATCACGGCCAAGAGTAGAAAAGGGTATTAGGCTGGGAAGGTAGCTCAGTGGTAGAGTGCTTGCCTTGCATGCATGAGGCCCTGGATTTGATTCCTCAGCACCACATAAGCAGAAAAAGCCAGAAGTGGCACTGTGGCTCAAATGGTAGAGCACTCGCCTTGAGCTGAAGAGCTGAGGGACAGCATTCAGGCCCAGAGTTCAGGCCCCATGACCAACCAAGAAAAAAAAGAAAGAAAGGAAGGAAGGAAGGGAGGGAGGGAGGGAGGGAGGGAGGGAGGGAGGGAGGGAGGGAGGGAGGGAAAGAAAAGGAATGGACGGACGGATGGACGGACAAGAAAAGAAATCTGGGTTTGGAGATACCTGAGTCACTCTGCTAACATACTGTCTTTCACCCAGTTTCTACCAGAGTCATCTTATAGACTCAAAGACTCTTAAATTAAAAAAAAAAAAAAAAACTAAATTAAATTAAAAAAGAGGAGAATCCAACCACTTAGGAAGAACCCTAAGCCACACCCCAGTCCTTGTGTGCTTTCAGTTATTCTGACAGGATCTGGAGTTTTTGCCCAGGTCAGACCCAAACAATAACACTCCCACCCAGGCCACCTATACAGCAAAGGCCATAGCTGTGTGCCAACAATCAGTTTGTTAAGTGTGATGGGTCTTACTGATATTTTTGTCTGGGTTGCCCTAAAACTGCATTCCTCCCAAATTCTACCTCTCTAGTATCTAGGATTACAGACATGAGCCCCCATACCCAGCAAAATATCTTTTCTTTGACAGTTAGCTGCTAGTGTTAAGCCTTTAGGACTCCAACTGGTGAGTGATAGGCTTTATGGGAATCCGACCATCCTACAGTAGGCCTAGTAAGTCTCTGAACCCATCCAGTGGTTACTTCCCCAGTTCCCAAATACACTATTGAATTAGGTATACCAAGGAAAGCCTTTCTTAAGTGGAGGGCCAAGAGAAAGCCCACAAAGCTCCCCTTCCCGTTAGAAGTAAATCCAAGCAACACTACCACAATGACTTGAACTACTATTAAAAACTTGAAAGGTACAAGAAGTGTGAGTGGTGGACAGTTTGAGGGTATGTATGTCACTGACTTACACACTCAAACTGAAAACACACCTGGGTCCTTGAAAGCATCATGGATTGTTATAAACTTAGCACAGAGATGGCTCCAAAGCAGCTACTACCTCAGGTATGATCTTATGGGAGTCATTATCCTTATACAGAAAGCAGTCTTTAGATAGAGATACCCAATAGCCAACCTTCAGTGAGCTCACCAGCACAGAGAAAAGTACACTTCTCCTATCATGCCTCAGAATTACTTGGACTTCATGCACAAGCCTTGAGTGTCTCACTACCCCATCAGAGCTTATTAGTCCCTCATGACAGCACATTAATAAAACTCAAGAAGCCAGGCACTGGTAACTCACACCTGTAATCCTAGCTACTCAGGAGGCTGAGATCTGAGGATTGCAGATTCAAGACAGTCTGGGTAGAAAAGTTCTTGAGCTCTTATGTCCAATTAACTACCCCCAAACTGAAAGTGGAACTGAAGCTCAAAGTGGTAGAGGACTAGCTTTCTTCAAAAGCTCTTGGAAAGAACCCAAGCTCAGAGTTCAAGCCTCATTATCACCACTACCACCACCACCACCTCCAACAACAACAACAAAACT